CCGCATCCTGGCCGTGGGCGGAGGGACGCTGCTGGGGACCCTCACCCCCTCCGTGGAGCTGTACCAGCCTGCTGACAACACCTGGGAATTCACAGCTCCGCTCCCCGCGCCCGTCGCTGACCACGCGGGCACCACCCACCAGGGAATCCTCTACGTTTCAGGTGACAGAGCGAGTAGACAGGAGGATATTTGCAGAGAGTTTTGTCGGGTTTTGCTGGCATCCCAACGTCACAGCCCAGGCCTGTGCCCACAGCAGCAGCACCCGCAGCCCCAGTGCCCCCTCCCTGCTGTGCAGCACAGCCCCGCTGCCCTCCGCAGTGCCAGGAGCTATCTGCTCTCCAAGATGTTACAGGTGACATCACCTGCTTGCAACCCACGTCCCTGTTCACCCTGCAGTCCTGGCTGCATCCCCAGGCTCTGCTGCCTGACAAGTTAAGGCAGAAGCCCACTGCCCCAGTGCTGGGGAGGGGATTAAACCTCACCGTTCATCTGAAGGGGAGACGTGGGACCAACCCCTCTGTGCTGCCCTGGTAATCCATACACAAAGGTGCCCAAGGCTCCTGCCCTCTGAGCCTGCAGAGCTCCTGCCCTGCAAGGGATCCTCAGTATCCTGGTACAGATAGATGGTGCAGGATGTTTAGCAATAAAGCAGCATGGGTTTAAACACTTGAGGAAACTGCTGCAGGATCTTTAGCTTTTGCAGCTACTAATTTGGACTTGAAGCAATCTTTGGTTTGTCCTGGGAAAAGCACTGTGCTGCCTGTGCCACTGCCTCTGCAGCTCAGCCCCGGGCCAGGCTGCCTCACTGCAGGCTCCCTGCCTCAAAACCAGCTGCCCCCCGCTGGCACCGTGGCAGTGACCTAGTGTGGGTTAACCTGCAGAGCTGCAGCCAAGGGTCCCTCTCCACAAGGGGCCCTGCAGCCCAGGCCCCCGGGCAGGGGAGGCAGCACAGGGGCTGTCCTGCCCCGCCGTGTGGCCAAGGGCAGCAGGGCTCTGCACTGGCAGTGGTTCAGCTGGGGCAATGGCTGAGACTTGGGTTCAAGCTTTGACTCTGCTGGCTCACAGTGCCACAGGCAGCTCATTGAGCCTCTGGTGGTCCTGATTTCTGCCAGAGAACAAGGACAAAACTGCCTCACAGAGCTTCAAACACACCATAGTGATCTGGATAACACTACACCCCTCCAGCAGAAGATGTTACCTACCTATAGCATGCATTTCCCTCTAAACTACTGGGGTAATTGCAAATCTGAACGGGCCAGCCTACAGCCCTGCCCAAGCACACCAAAAATTCAGAGCACTACTTCAGCACCAGATTTAAACACAAGCTCTGTGCAGACAAAGTGTCTGTGCTCAGGTGAGCTGAGGCTTCTGGCCAGCCTGAAACACCATCTTGTTTGCAAAGACCCTGCAGACTGGGGTCCAGCGGGCAGGCGGCTGGAGGCACCTACCCCTCCCACAGCACTCCCCTTCTGCCAAGAGCTTTTCACAAAGCCCCTCTGAAATACACAAGCGAGTGCCTAATAAGGAGAAAAAACTGCCAACAAGCATTGGCAGATTGGTTTTGACCTTCAGAGACCCAAAATTCAAAGAAAGAGTTCTGACAGCTCTTCTTTCAAACCACCATTCTGTGACTGCATGTACTGGAGGCAGAGTCCCTAATTAAAGCTGTTCTTGGTTACACTTGGAAAGCCCCAAGAGCTTTCTTCAAAACTCTTTTGTGGAAAACTATTTACAGGAAAAGCTGGAACTGGTTCGTGTGGATTTTTTTTTCCTCTTTAAGATACCCAGAAGCTCAGGTTTTAAACCTCACGCTGCACCAGCTCTGCGGGACACTGTGAAATTTTAAACCCGAGCCTCTCAGGGATTTTAAAGAAATCAAATGAGCTCTGCTACCATCGGCAGGTTTGTGACGTGTCAGGGAGGGTGATGGAGAGATTCTCACAACTTCTGCTTTCCTTCTAGGGGGCTTCTCTGGGGGTAAAACCTTACGGGACACTTACAGCTACCTCCCTCGCCTCCGGCGCTGGGTTGGCAACCGGGCCATGGGCTTCACCCGCTGCGGGCACGGGCTGGCTGCTGCCAGGGACAGGATCTTCTGCGTCGGAGGGAGGACACTGGGCAGGGTAAGTCACTGGCTCTTCGGATTTCAAATCTGATTGAAAGGGGTCTCTGGATTGCCAGGCTCTGCTCTATTCCCACAGGCTGAGCTGTTACTTCAGCAGTTTTGGTCTCTCGGGGGCCTGGCCCAGCTGGGAGTCAGGGCAACGAGCTCCTGAGGACACGCCTGCAGCCGCCCTGGTGCCACACTGTTTGCTAGAGTACAAAGCCTGTTTAAAACACTTTTTTTTAAATAAACAGAGAGTGGAGGGACAGGCTGGCAGCACAGCCGAGGTGCAGAAGTGGCCACTCCCTGAGCCAGACACGGCGACCACCCCCTCACCTTGTCCCAGCCGGGACGGAGCGGAACGGGCAGCGGGGAAGGGGATGGACTGTGGGGAGGACACTGGCCTGGATTTTAGGAAAGATGGGCTCTAATCCTGGAATGCAAATGAAGTTTCTTCAAACACGGACTCCCCATCTCTGAACGAGGAGGTAAAGCACTGTGCAGCCTCCTGGGAAGAGACCTGACAGGTTCCTGAAAGGCTCACTCAGGGAGGATCCCACTCCCTGAAGCCAAGAGAAATGAGTTTTCAAAGATCATTCAGCAATTCCCGTTTGAAAGTGTCAAGACCAAGGGACTGGCCTGATTGTAGGATGATGGCTCCACGGGAGGGTGTCCCAGAGCACTTAACTGCTCACTGAGGAAGGGACAGAAATCTATACAGAGGAACGGCATATCAAGGCTGACATGAAATTCCTTGAGATGACACAAACTCAGTTACTGTCCAGATTCAATCAATATCAGCCAATTTAGATGATTTCCTTTGTAATGTCTTAAAAGTCTGGAAAGCAGGCAGGATGTGGGCTGGGCCAGTTCCAGCAGGTCCCTGTGGCACCCTGCTAGGCTCAGTCCTCTGATTTTCCATGAAGTCTCCAAGACTGAGTCCAGTCTTGTTCAACCTACTCATTAATGACCTGCCTGAAGGGGTGGAGTGGACCCTCAGCCAGTCTGCTGATGGCACAGAGCTGGGAGGAGTGGCTGACACACCAGAGCCATGCTGCCATTCAGAGAGACCTGGACAGGCTGCAGAGCTGGGTGAAGTTCAACAAGGGCAACTGTAGAGCCCTGCCCCTGAGGAGGAATAACCCCATGGGCCAGTAGAGGTGAGGGGCTGACCTGCTGGAAAGCAGCTCTGTGGGAAGGACCTGGGAGTCCTGGTGGACAACAAGCTCACTGTGAGCCAGCCATGTGCCCTGGTAGCCAAGAAGGGCAACCAGTGATCTCCTGGGGTGCATTACAAAGAGTGTGGCCATCAAGGGGCATTCTCCTCCCTCTGTACTCTGCCCTAGTGAGGCCCCCTCTGGAGTACTGGGTCCAGTTCTGGGCTCCCCAGTTCCAGAGAGACCAGGAACCACTGGAGAGAGTCCAGTGGAGGCTGAGTGACCTGAGCACCTGTGTGACAAGGAAAGGCTGAGAGCCCTGGGGCTACTGAGCCTGGAGAAGACTGAGAGGGGGTCTCCTCAATGCTTATTAATACCTAAAGTGTGGATGTCAAAAGGATGGGGCCCTTCCAGTGGTGCCCAGTGACAGGACAAGGGGCAATGGGCCCACAATGGGACACAGGAAGTTCCACCCAAACATAAGGGAAAAATTCTTTCCTTTGAGGGTGACAGAAGCTGGAACAGGCTGCCCAGAGTGGAGTCTCCTTCGCTGGAGACTTTCAAAACTCACCTGGATGTGATCTTGAGCAGCCTAGTCTAGATGACCCTGCTTTGTCCTGGAGGTTGGACTAGATCTCTAAAGGTCCCTTCCAGCCTTCACCATTCTGTGACTCTGGTTTCATTCAGTTTCTTTTGAGGCTCTTCTTGCTAAATGTAGATTGAAAACCTGTCACCTTGAGCCCCGCGGCATTCAGACAGAGGATGAGATACTGCTTTCCTTTCTCCTGAACCACGTGAGCCTGACATAACAGTGCTGTCCACTGGAGGTGTGCCACGCTGGGTGACTGCTGGTCTGGTTCTCTGCAGGCAGGGGAATGGATCCAGGTGGAAGAGATGGAGTATTACTGTCCCAGGAGCAACCAGTGGACGACACTAACGCCAGCCCCGTTCAGCTGCTGCCAGTTCAGCCTCACAGCCCACGGCACCACGCTCTACCTTGCAGGGGGAGGGTCACTGCAGCACATGCAGAAGGAAGACACTGTCTTCCTCTATGACACAGAGAGGCAGGTATGGAAGAAAGGCAGTCCCCTGCCTACAGCTCTGGTGGATCATGCCTCTTGCATGATTAGACTGTCCCAAGCAAATGCAGGTGGTGAGATGGGGAGAGGCACAGAGGACCCCTCCACGGGCAGCTGGGAAACATCACCCCTCAGCTTGTTCACCACCAGGCAACAAGAGTCCCACTCTGTCCCAGAAAAGAAGTAGGATGTGAATAGGTCAAGCAAACCTGACTGTTTGCCAAGACATTAGCAATTTAACAAACCTCCATTTAATTGCCAGCCAAACATCTTCACCAGGGCTTTGGAACTGGTGTGTTTCTGACTTGGTGGAGGGTGACAGGCATAAGTTGCAGAAGAAAGAATTAGTTCCAAACCCTACTAAGCTGCAATAGCCCCAGAAGAATTCCATAAACTAATTTTTTGACATTCAGAACCTGAATGAACAGGGTAGAACTTATTTTTCATAATCAACTTGAGAGATTTTATGAGGAAGTCTTCAAAAAAACTTTGAATTCTATCTGTTATTACAAACACTGCTGGCTGACAAATCGAGTACCCACAGAAACATACACACAATGTATTTAAGATTGTCTTCCCACTGGATTAAGACCATATGGCACTGTGATGACAACCTTGTCCTCAACAAACTGACCTGAAAACTTCCTCCAGTGAACGTGCACTGAACCTGTGACTGCTTGAGCAGGTGGGTAAAATGTTAGGAAAGAACCAAGCTCCTTAGAAGTCCACATCTCATGGACAGCTGAGGCCAAGGGGCTGCAAGAGCCAAAGAACCCGAGGAGGGTAAGTTTGGAAAGGTGAGAGAATGAACCTATGGGATATCCTGATGGACAAAACGTCCCAGTGGGACCTGAGCTATACCAGCTTCCACAACACACAGCCTGCACAGCCCCCCAGTTCTGCTTACAGGTGCTTTAAGGAAACAGGGCAGGAAATAAAGATCAAACTGATGCTGTTAACTCACCAACAAGAGCAGCCAGGCCTTGAATTGGGTCTGTGTGGGCAAGGATTTGTTCACAGCCAACCTGGGGGAGACACATCACAGGCAAATTGCAGACAGGTTAGTTGACAGCTCTGCTCCACAGGACTAACCAGGGCTTCTTCTCCTCCCTTCCACCAGCAACACAATGGGAACAAGGAGACAGGGCTGGGACAAGCAGCTCCTGTACAAAGTTAAGCAGCTGTGCAGAGGCCAGAGGGATACACATCACTCCTTCCTGCCATCAGTGTTTGAATGCCCTTCTCAAGGGGGGCATAGAATAATTATTTCCATTGTATAAGTTGTTAAACAGACCCTAGAAGGGATCTGGATGCCCAGTGGAGCCACAGGCAGCCTCTCCCAAGCCCAGTACAGTGTAGCCTGCATCACCTCTTGCAGTGTGCATCTGCTCCAGGTGGGACTCCAGCCATAAACACCAGGAGTTCAGAGGCAAAGCCCCATCTGCACATCTGCTGGAGTGCAGCAGGGAACAGCAGCACGAGGCTGGTGGCACACCACAAGAAACCAAGAACTGCAACAGCAGCTGGTGATCTCGGGTCAAAACTGGGACCTTTCAAAAGCAGCTGGTGTCTGAGGAGTCTCTGTAACCCCCTGAGAACAAGGCCCCTTTCCCACACTTTGCCATCTCTAGCTCTCTTGGAAGTTCAGAGCTTCCCCAGTCCCCACAGCAGCACTTCTCTCTGGGGTATGTCACCATCCTGGGTGACACTTAGAAAGGAGCCTGATTTCCAGGCTGCCATCCCTACACACCAGGAGCAGTCCATTTATGGAACGTGCCTTGAGGTAGGCTACAAAAAAACTCCATTTTTTTTTTAGTGTTTAAAAGCTGAACTCAACAAGCTCTCCCAGGCCTCTGTGTCTAAGGTGAGGGCAGAGCAGGGTAGAGGTGGCTCCAGCACACCCTCCCTGGTGAGCCTCACAGCAGCACCTTCCAGACACAGCAGTCCCTGTCCCAGGGAGGTTTAAGGTGTGGGTTTGCTGCCAGAGTGGGAGGGCTGCAGCACCCACCCCTGCCTCTGGCTGACCTGAGAGGGTCCCAGGGCACAGCAGGAACCACGACTCTCACCCTGTCCTGGGGCTCACCTTCACGGGGTTGGCAGGGAGGTGGCCCATGAAGTCTGTTTTGTAGGGGTAGTCCATCATGGCCATCATGGTGAAGGCATTCCTAGCGAACCCAAACAGCTGGTAAACATCCTCCTTGCTGGAGATCTTATTGCATGTGGCCATTTTTCTGCTGATTTCATCATAGGCTGCAGGAGGAAGGGAAACGAGAGACACAGACTCCAACAGAGGAAAATAACACCAGCCTCAGCATCTTGTTTCACTCCTGTGTAAGGAGATGCTGCAGCACACAGCTGGGGATGCTGGTGGGAAGGACACATTACATCTACATTTACACACACGTGAAGTTCAGGCACAGCCCTCCTGTGCAGCTCCACAGCCTGTGCTCTGTCCCTCACAGAGCCACCAACGGGCCTGGGGACCCAGGGGACCCAGCACCCACTGAGACAGAAGCTGCCCTGGCTGGCAGTGAGAAGAGCAGCTCAGGATGAGCCTGTCCTGGCCAGTGCCCTGCCTGGCTGCTGCCTCCCTGCAGGCTCTCATGCAGGACAGCAGCATACAGCATACAGGTCCCAGTGGGATTCAACAGCTGGAGGAACCAGCAGGGAAAATTGAAAAAGAAAAACCTAATTAAAAACCAAAAAGAGCTCCTTGGGAGCTGGGTGCATGTGCAGTAAGAACTGCCAAGTGGGACTGCTCCCCACAAAGGACTCCTGAGACATGCCTCCAAACTTCACTGTGCTGCAGAGGGCAGCTGGAGTCAGAAGTTTGTCTGGGGATTCCTTCAGGGTGCACTCACAGACCTTTGCATTTCTGCTGGGGAAAGCTGCTCCCCTCATCTTTACCCTCTACTTTCTGCAGTCACAGTTCCAGCCTGTCCTTATCACACCCTGCAAGCTGCCACTGGAGCTTGGCTGTCTTTGCCTGGGAACCCAAGGCCTGGGACATGCCTCTTGACACTCACCTGAGAGCCTGAGCCAAGGGTGAGCACCTCACCCAGCCAGCTGCAGAAACCATGGTCCTGGGCAGGCCTGGAGGACCTGGGCTATTGAATGGCAACGTTTCTCTGCTGTGGCCCAAAGCTCCTGGTGACAGCAGCTGTTGGAGGCACAGAGCCCCTGACCAAGCCCAGCCCAAGGCAGGCCTTGAGGCAGACCCAGAGCCCACCACAGCTGTTCCAGCACCGTGCAGGGCTCCCAGCAGATGCTGCACTGGCCCAGGATATCTCATCTGGCCTGCCTGGGAGACACTGCAGATAGCTCACCAGTCTCTTTCCTTGGCTTCACCTAATTGCCCAAGGCTGAAGATGAAAGAGATGGTGGCAGCTGCTTCAAAACCTAGATTGCCTTCCAAGCATTCCTCAGATGTGTCCAGAGTGCTGAGCCACGCAGCTGTCATACCCACCTGAGCAGTCCTCCGTGGGAGGGAAGTTGGGGACAAGTATTTGGTGAAACAGGAGACTCTACCAGCATAAAATGCAGCTGTGCTGCACCTGGGGTGTTCTGCACTCTGGCACAGAAAGGGTGGTTCCACTGACACTGTGCAAGCCCCCCAGGCACCTTCCTTTTGGTGTCAGTTACTAATTCTAATGCTAACTGAAACCATTCATTAGATCAGTTGTGCAAGCAGCAGGAGGTGGCCAGGCTGGCAGCTGCACTGAGCTAGCTGGACCAGCTGAAGACCTGACTGGGGTGGAACTGCACCAGGTTGTTCCTGCCTGGCTGGGGCACCCGGGGGCTCTCCTCACCTCCGCTCAGGCCCAGCTCCTTGATCTGCTGGAAGGCTCTGCGGGCAGCCAGGGCACAGCCCGGCCTGGCCTGCTCAAAGTCCTGAGGGGACACAAGAGACACCATTAGAGGGGACACACGTGTGGGGGCTGCACTGGGGAGAACGCCACGGGGCATAACAGGGTCACCAGCCCACCGCCCAGAGCCCCATCTGCATCCCCAGGGGCAATCCCCCAGACAATCACCACATCCAGCAGAAGCCACAGTCTGCAAGGCTCAGGCCAAGCAGCAGCTGTTCCACCAGGTCTCTCCTTGCCAGGAGCTGTTAGACAAGAGACTTTGCACCTCGTGGAGCCACGGGACTGACCACGAAGCAGTGAGAGGAGGTACCTGCCTTGGCCAGGACATGGGAAGAGGGTGCTGAGCTGCCAGGCCTAGGAGTTGGTTCTTTTTTTATTGTTTGGTTGGTTGTTTTTTTATTTTCTTTCTACACACACAATTGAGTTCTTCCAGCTGTACTTTATCTGTGAGAAGGAGCCATGGAGAAGTCAGTTACCCATGGGAGGCACAGCACTGGTCTGGGAACCAAGACCTGCTCTTCTTCTTAAGCCTGTCAGTGACCTGCCACATGACCAAGAAAGCCATGTCCTTTTCCTTCAAAAAACCACTACTGATCCTGAAAAAGCACCTTAGGTTTGAAGAGCTGTGGCTGCTCACGCTGGTAGAACAAGTTGTTTCTGTCCCTGAAGGCTCTAGCAACCCAAACTGTGTCTCTTTGGTCAGCCTGTAAAGCAGTTACAGATCTGCTGGCAACCAGTGCTTTGTAATGATAGAATTATCAGGGCTCTTTTAAGGTCCTTTTACCTTGATAGAGCACTAGCTAAGTAACCACAAATCACTGGCTAGAGGATTTTTCTTATAAACACCCAGCCTTGACTAATAATACATTTGGAACCTTTTATTCTTATCTTTGCCTTCATCAGCTAGTTATGCTTAAAGAAAACACTGTGGGGTTTTCTACAGTTCACCTGGGCATCCCTTCAGATGTTCCAAATCTCCTTCTGGATGTGGTAATTGATCTTCAGCTGCTGAAGGCTCTACCTGGAGTGTGGGGCTGGACTGGGGTGGCCAGAGGAGCAGGTCTGAGCTCCCCACGAGGCAATGCTGGAGTGCTGCAGCACACTGAGGAACCACCACCCACTCCAGCCCTGCCCCACACACCCAGGAACAGCCTGTCACAGAGGCAGAGGCAGGAGGTGCAAGAGCCACTCTGAGGAAAGCTGCTGCCCCTCCAGGCTCCCATTTTTTTCTCTTTTGAATCCCACCTAGCTCAGGGGTCTGATCTGAACAGCCCCTGCACTGCCCCTTCCCTCCAGGAAGCACATGCAGGGCTCTGTGTGGAGTATTCACACAGGGACTTTCTGCCTGGCTGCAGGGGGGGCAGTGGGCCCATGTAACACCAGTCTTAGGCAAATACCTTATGCAAAATCAACTCTGTCCTTTGCCCACTGCCCCTGTGAGCTGGAAAAGCTCAGTGCAAGTCACAGAGAGAGCTGCTCTGAGACAATGCACTCTGGCTCAGGGGAAGAGAAAGCTCCCACAGTAACTCAGGCCAGGTTTGTGTCTTCATGACTATTAACAGCTCTCAGGGGTTCCTCTCACCAAGAAGAGCAGCTGAATTCAGACCTGCAGAGGCACAGTTTGTGTTTATGCAATCACACCTAAAGTGGAAGGAATTACTTTGAAAACAACACAAAGTGCCTGCTTAGGATCTCAACCCAGAGGTCAGCTTACCACTGCAGAGAATGTAGTTTGAAATTAATTTGAAAGTTTTTTTTCACATTAAGAGGTCAAAGCCCTCATCTCAAGGTGTAATGGCCCACAGCACACTCACAGCTGAAGCAAGACTATCAGCTGAACAGGCTTC